AGAAAGCTCTAGAGTGGCTACTAAATGGTCGCTGTGGTGACATTGGCAAGACCTTCTTTGTAATTATTATGTAAGATTGTAATCTTGAATCAAAGTATGTGAGCTTAATGTGTTTTTTTCTTTTATAGCTTGAGTATTTAAGTGAACTTCTGTTTCCTTACCATACAATGACAATACAGGAGAACAGGTCTCGTGGTATTTTCCACGCGCTCATACACCTGGCGTTAAAGAAGATATGACACAGGAAGAAGCTCAGTGAGGAGTTTTCTTTAAGACCCGCACACACGATACTCAATACAGCAGGGCACACATATCTACAGTACATACAGCTGTTGCATTGTGGGATTGGCAGACAGTAGAGGAGCTGGTGTGCCGTTCAGTGTACAGTCAGACCAGTAGGAAGTCGCACGAGCTTCTCCGCAGCAGCAGCGCACATTTTTCCCGGCAGATCTTGAGGTTAACGGACCCTGACAGAAAAATGGCCACCATGTTGGGGACAGTCGCCAAACAGCTGAAGAGCCACCCTGCTGTGAGTACTGAACACTGTGTGTCTTTATAACATGCCAACGACCTGGTGACATTGAAAACGCTCGTGAGGACGCGGTGGTGTGGCTGTGCGCGCGCCCATTACCCCAAACCTCAGCTTAATTATCAGACGCGTTATATCCAGTGATATGATAATGCGGCTTTTCTTAATTAAGGCGATGTTTAGGGTGTTTTTCTTAATATATAGTGTGTGGGAGATTAATATAATGATAAATGTGTATGATGTAGAAATGTAATTCCGCATTTCTAATGAGAAAATGGCCGATTTGGTCAATGTAACGCCAATAAATCCGCATTATAATCCATATTTTACATCATGTCTCATCACTATATATCCTGTTATTATCCTCCCTGCTGTAAAGGCTTATTATATGTTTGCTCTCCCGCCCTTTGAGCTTCATAACGGGATTACATTTTCTCTAAAAATGAAGACACCTGCTCTAATGAGGCGCTAACACATTTATACAGGAACCGCAATTAAAATTAGCTTTCTTAAATGTGGGACATATCATGTATGTAAGGCAAACGTATATATGTATACTGTTTCCCTTTAAGAGACATACCGGTACTGTATGTCCACAGCCATAAATGTGGGACGCTGCAGCACGTACACAAGAACATATGACTCAAGGCCAGAGCAATGCGCGCAAAGGGACTGATAATTCAAGGACGACGGGGTTAAACAATCGGCTTTACGGCACCATCTCCATGAATAGACCACTGGGTGGGAGTGTGTCTATCTCAGCTTTCTATTAAGTGAAAATGTCTGTTGTTATAAAGGAAGGAAACAGGTATGATGTATACTAGTATGACAAGTGAAATCTTATGTAGGTGGTTACTGACATGCCTGTCAAACAATCACCATATATGACTATTTCATATATATATTGTATCTGTAGCTACTTATAAGCTGTACACTGGCATCTCACACTTTTAACTGTGTTGCTGGAGTGGAGTAAAACCCCAACATGAGGTCACCAGATGACTAACAGGTCAGAAATGTGATGCACTATATTATAGACCTTCCTGTAATCACTGGATCATTTTGCCTTTGAATTTATTCGAATTAAACAGAAGAAGATCTCCCAAAGGACAAAGGGTTTTGTGAGCCTAGCCATTACAGCTGCCAAAAGATGCATCACAACTAAATGGAGTCATAAGATCCCTTGGATATTACTCAGTGGATTGATGAGGTCAATTTATGTGTTCCCTTAGAGAAAATGCCATGCTATTAGAGGAGGTAGCCCACGGCTGTGTCATAAGACTTGGGACCCATTGATGAGCTATATGGAATCGTTACTGTCTGATTATTTACCTTTTTAACACCATCTTTAATGGTTTCAATGAGAATGTGTAAATGTTTGTTTTATGTTTCAAATGGAAGAGGCAATATCTCTCGTCACGGCCCTCGTTCTGTATTGTGTTATGTTGTGTTTTGTCACGATCTCTGTCATACATGAATGTGAAAAATGAATACACAGATCTCAAGACAAAAACCACTGGAATCAACAACACTAACTCTTTGCTGTTGGTTATCTTGTCCTTATAACTTGTAACGAACTTGCATTCTTCTTCTTTGCCCACTAGCTCATCCCCCTCTTCGTCTTCATCGGCGGCGGGGCAACCATGAGCGTGACGTACTTGTGTCGGCTGGCTCTGAAAAACCCTGATGTCTCGTAAGTTTCTGGCATTTCTGAGAATGTGACAATACAATAAATGACAATGCAAAGTAAACATAGTTAGCCATAGTTAATGTAGCAGTTATGTTTACGTGTATGTGTCTTTATTTATGATTATTATATTTTCTTGTTTTGTCTGTTGTATTCTCATGTTTGGGTGAGAAATATTATTTGTAATAGATTAGATTTTAAATTCTAGAGAGGAAGTTTTCACCATAAGCCCTTTCAGGTTTCTTACCATGTTTATTCTTATATACTCATGCTAATACACATTTTAAGTAGAATAAAATAATCCAGCTGTGCAAAATGTTGCGAGATATCTGCATCAAGGATCATATGGTCAGACACATCCTCAATACAGGAAGACTGCACATAGACAGAATCAATTTGACACAATGGAGGTTTCCATATAATTCACATAGGGTTGCCAGATCTTGTAAAATGTTTCAGTCTTATTCCTCAACCAGAAAGTTATCTTCTCTGTAGGGTATACAGCTATATATTTTTAGGAAGCCTCATTCCAATTTGGAGGGGAGCATTTGATTTCCATTGTAACAAAATACATTGTTTAGCAATAGCCAACAAATGTCTGTAAGCCTTATGGCAGGGCTATTTTTAAGGTTTGATTTGGTAAAGTTACCCAGTAAACAAATCTCCACGTCCAATGGAAAGACAACACTATAAATACTGGATAAGGTGTCACATAACCCCTGCCGAAGTCCCTCGAGTTACCCCCCAAGGAATGTTCCCTCGTCTAAGCCACATCAAAAACAAAGGGATGATATATTGGAATTGTATTTGTGCAGTTTGTGTGGCGCTGATGCAGAAAGTTTAACTATATTAATCTACATCTGCACAAATCACCCCATAGTTCCCCATCCAGATTTATTCCCACATCTTTCTCCCATTGAAATCTGGACCGCTCCAGATCAGGTATTAATAACTCCACATAAGAGCTTCAAACTCTTCGGAGATAGTTTTAATCAGTGGCTGTTCAGCGTGGCACAATTGTTCCACAGGGGTCAAAGAAGGTAAATTCAACCAGCCTGTGCAGCTGACTAATTAAGTCACACGAAATTTGGTTTTGTCAGCTCTTGGGTTTTTATTAAACCTCAGTGTGTGTGTGTTTAAGTGTCAACATTTCATATTTTCTTGTCCTCAGTTGGGATCGCAAGAACAACCCCGAGCCCTGGAACAAAATGGAGCCCAACCAGCAGTACAAAGTATGAGCCTTGTACAATTGCATCAATAATGCATGTTGTTCCACAAGCATCATCTTTTCTGTTATCTTGCCTCAAAGTCCATATCGCCACCCTCTTACTGACTGTGTCCATCATATGTTTCCAGCTTTTCAAAATCAACATGGACTACTCCAAGCTGAAGAAGGACAGGCCTGATTTCTAAGTCATCGTGTCTTCGCACCTCCGTCTCTGATATTGTCGTCAGTGTGAGGAGCCTTTGCACTTTTTCGCTGAACACATAACAACCCCTTGATGCTGAATGAAGGCTGATTTCCATTGTGAAGGGGGGGAAGGGGATCATTCACTTATCAATGACTGTATGAATAAAACAGGCGACCACCTGTTTAACTTATGAATTTATTTTTGAATGTATTAATTATTAAATATATTTCAATCTCACTTTGATGTGTATTTCTTTTGGACACAGTAACTTTGACACAAGACGAAAGCACGGTAAAAGTAGTTAGATCCGGTGACATGAAAGATGTCACTGTGAAAGTAAACAGTGCAAGCAACATATTATAGCTAATTAGTTCCCAAATCACATGTTGAGGTTTTGTAGTCTGGAGAATACACCCACAGTAGAGAGCAGTGCCTGGAAGTCATAATGTCAGTGATACTACATCATGTCTGGAGAGACGAACTCCACAGAGTCTGCTTTCAATGAACCTTGAAGTTTTTGTTACTGGCAACATAAGGAAAGATCTCATTGACCTATGCCAGCCCTATGTGTCACCTTTTGAATAACTGCATTAGAATAATTTTGTTTTCCAAACTGACACGCCAACATAAGACACTGATATACCAACAAGGATCTAAAGCATTTTAAGGAAACAAGTTCACATTTGATATATTAAGACAACCCAGATTTTAAAAAGTTTAAGGAGTCCACAGCTTATTTTAATTTTTTTTTCTTTACCCGTCTTGAATCTTTTCATTGCATTTATCTTGTTCACCCATACCCTCTCTTTTTTCAAATGGTAACGTAATTATTCTCTCAATTACACACGTCATTTCTTGATGTCTGGTCTCAACAATTTCCTGTCCATACGAACTAACCTGTTACATTTAGAGGAGCACAGTAGGCTACGTGCCACACTGAGGCTTGAGGACTTTCTGGCTTTATTACGCACATCCTGCCTGATTCCCAGGCAGATTGGCCAGGATGGGCGAAATCAGAGCTCATCATTTCTCAGTAGTGTTTTAATTCCCACTAGCTGTTATTCCCTTTTGTGTCCAGCAGAGTGTGCTGTGTCACAGTGACAAATGAAACTGTTCTGGTGAGAAATAGTTTGTCCGTACAGTTAGTTAACTTTAAAAGGGACTGAATTAAAAACAATGTTCTCACACAACTCAACTCAATAACATATTTATTTCTATATTCTTTACAAAACGTTGGACTCCGTGTTCTCCAGAGAGTCTATCAGTTGGTGGCGATACCGCTGTGGTTGGTAGGAAACTGCTGTTTAGCTGAAGTAGACGAAGAAGAAAACCGTCTTCTCGCGAGACTTCAATTAAAAATAACGCGGGACAGTGTGAGGAATGAATCCGTTGAAAGCACAGAGACATTAGTCAACACAGGGTAAATATGTTGAACTAGATAAAAATTGTGATAAATGACACTGTCCTCGGCTCAGCTCCGTTTGTTGGACTCAACTAACCGTTATCACGGTTAACGCTACTGTGTTTCGTTCGCGAAATTTAGCTAAACGTTAGCTTTTAGCTAACCTCAGCTAACCAGCTGACTGTCTCAACTCGGCTTGGTAAATGGATCCCACGGAGGACTTGTCTGCTCGGGTCCTGCTGACAAATATTCTCAGCACCGAGACACCCAGGACTCCCATCACCCGCAGGTACTTCAACAGCACTTCACTAAGTTGTTCTGTGAAAGAATTAGTCAAATTGTTTCAACCGTCAAATAACTAAAACTAGCTAATGTAATGCTAATATTTATCATAGCCCTGGCTGAGGAAGCTTGAAGTTGGTAGCTTGTGCTGCTAGGCTTATATTTAATGGGGTAAAACTATGGAAACTAATATTTTACTGCACTTAAATTATTTAGGGGCCTATGAAAGTTTAGTGAATATCTGTGAACATGAGCTACTGTCTCTTAAAGCCAGAAACCAGAGCACCAAATCTTAAACTTGTGATGTCATCAAGTATAAACTCTGGAGCTGCTTCATAGACAATGAATGGAGACTGATTTTGTGAACCCACAGAAAGTTTGTTTTCTTTGTTCTCAGCTCTGAAACAGAAAACGTACCCATATACTCAGAACATTCCTGTGGCTCCCCTCAGTGTCATCTGTAACATCTTTTCCAATTCCTTGTCTATGGAGCAGCTCCAGAAATTATGCTTGACGACATCACAAATTTGACTTTTACTCTAGTTTTTGGATTTGGAAGAGAACTGTTCATGTTACTAATATTTTTTGATTGTCTTTGACCATAGGAATAACATGTATGAACTTTTACAATCGGTGTAGTTCCCCTGTAATTTTACACCTGACACAGGAGGTGTCAGGTGTAAAATTGCTTGCTCTCACATTGTTAGAAGTGAGTCTCAATGACTTTGTATTGATCTTATAATTAGTTCAATACCAGATGCAAAGCCATTGAGACCAATTCTAACAATATGCCACAAAAATTCTTGATTTTATGTTGTTAGCAATGAATCTCATTCTGACTTTAATCTAGTGTTGAACTAATTATGAGCTGTTTTGTCTCAAGTGCCTCCAAAACACAGAGAAGCAGCACGACCAGAAGCAGCAACAGACTGAGCAAAAAAGATGCTGGTGCCCAAACCCCACAGGACATTCTTAGACGCAGCCTGAGACATAAATTACGAGAGGTGAGGAAGGCGAGCAGATGTAATGCTGATAATGGACCTGCTGTCTTAAAGTTGACCTATTTACCTTCTTTCCAGAGTATAACCAGGCAATCCCTGCCTGCTCCTAAAAGGAGGACTACCTCAGTCGTGCTCAGAAAAATAAACACACCAGCCACAACCTCAGTGCTGTTTGATGATGCAGACACACCAAGGCACATACTTGGGAACATCCTGCGGACAGGTATGTGCATGGGCCTGTCTTTATTTGCACATAATGCTGCGGCTGTTTGTTTTTCTTTTACCCATATCATTTGTCGTGTGATTCAGAGCCTGCAAAGTCTCCTGTGGTTCATGAGATAGCTGCATCAGAGGAGCCCGAGCCATCATCAGACGACTCCAACACTACAAGGAAGCGTCCTAGGTGAGTTGTGCGTGTAACAGTATTTTAAATAACTGCTCTGATGTCAGGTGTGGGGAATCAGCTTTTTATACCATTGCTGGGCCATAGCAACATCCTCCCTGCCTCGGAGTCTCTTCAGCAATATTAACTGTTTGTTTGTGTGTTTAATTATGTTGTGTTGTATGTTGTGTTGCTTGACTTTCAGTATTGAGCTGTCAGGGTTGGACTTGCCTGATCTAACTATTGGCAATGTAGTGAGTACCGCAAAGGGACTGAGCAGGAAGAGACCACGTCGGAGCCTTAATGTGACAGCTTTTGAAGAACGTCTTAAAGATGGAGTAGGTGAGGTTAAAGCCACTGCTGATAGGCTTCAGTGTTTCGATGGGATTTTATAAGATTGTTTATTGTAAGTTGAAACATGTACATTAGGTTGTAGTGTTCTCAGTGTACTTCTGCTACAAGTGAATGTACACACATATAAGCTGGATCAGTGAATGCTTGTGCTTACAGATGTTGAGGAGGAAAATGAAGAATCAACAGATGACCATTCGTCACTGTCTTTGTCAAGGTAAAAAAAGAAAGTGTTCTGTAGTTTTTTTTTTTTTTTTACATGTAAATAGTTTGCTTGCTGTTTACAATGTTAATGAGCTAATTGATAGCTATGTTGTCTGTTCAATCTGTTTTGCAGTTCCACTTCTCTGAGTCTAAAAACACCCTTTGTGGACGTTCGGACTGAGAAGAAGGGCTTGCAGAGAAGAGTTTCTAACCGTCGAAAAATCACAGTAGAAGAATTTGGAGCTGCTGTGAATAAACGGGAGATGGGGGGTGATTATAATGATCAAAACAATGTCCTTTTTTCCATGTATGATCATGTGTTTAACAAGTAAATGAGAGCGCTGATTAGTGTTTGGTATTGTTTAAAACCTTACGATACCAGTAACCTTATAGTGAGTACGTCATTTGATACTTCTTTTCCTTCTTCATTTGATACCCATCATGTGAAGGGAAGCATTCAACAGATGCCAAGATGTACAGTAAAGCTGTACTTGGACTGTTTTGGTGGCATCTTGGCATGTTGAACTGCCAGTTCTGTCAAATACACCACATTTGACCTCACCACAACACGGACGTGGTTGCAGCTGCTGCCATAGTATAGTCACATTCATTTGAAGAATGCTTGCAGTGATTGGCTGCTAGCAAAACCATACAAAAAGTCATTTTTTTCTCGACCTGGGTACAAAAAGGATTGAATGCAGGTATCGTTTGACTGGAGAAGTTTCAATACTACTTGGTTACCCAGCCTAGCACTGGTTATTCATTTAAGTTGTTTGTTTTTAATTAACCTTTTAGACTGTAAAGTGTCAAAAAGAAAGAAAAATGTCCCTTAGTACTACCCAAGCTTTTTTTTAAACTTATCGCTGAGACTGATCAGCAGCTGTAATGTTCGTGTTTCTACTTAAGAATATGTAAGAAAAGCTATCTGACACTTAAAGTTGCCTCCCTCTGGTGTATTCTGATCTCTTATGGAGCATCTTTAAATGTATATTTTAAACTCCAGCTCAGCTACATTAGCAAACAGGTGAAAGGAAGCAGATATATAACTTTTTGAAAGGCAGGAGCAAATAGTGTAGTATGTATGAAAATAATAGTGAGTTATCTGTGACTGCTGTCCTCGGTGTTGTTGCTGATGCTTTTGTTGTCTCTCCCTTCCTGTCATTTAGGAGTGAGCAGTTTTATGCAGGTGGAACGTGGCCTCAGTGAGACCGCCCACTCTGAGGGCTTCACTTTGGGCCTGAGCAAACTCAGTGAACCTGACATCACGACCGATATCCTCCACTGCAACACGGCTCTCTATGCCCAGCCTGATGCCATGACCTCCAGCTTTTCCATTGTCGCAACTCAGGACAAACTGACGGTGATGGCGTCTCAGCTTCAGAGGCAGATGGAGCAGGAGGAGCACATGGAGGTGGAGCAGAGCGAGCCGGGTAAAGAGAAGTCGATGTATGCATTTCCAACTGAAGAGGGGGCTGAACCTCAGAGTGAAGAACGTTTTACGGATACAGATGCAGCAGAATCTCAAAAGGAGGGAGAGAAAAGTACAGCTGAGCACCGTGCGAATGAAAGGGATGTTAGAGGTGAGTCTGAGGAAGAGGAGGATGGGGTAGAAGCTCAAACAGAGGAGGAAGATGCAGCTGATGCTCACACTGAAGATGATGCTACAGCCAGGTCTCAGTCTGATGAAGCTGAGGCTGCAGCAGAGCCTCAAACAGAAGAAGAGGAAGATGCAGCTGACTCTCAAACTGAATGAGAGCAAGGTGGAGTTGACTCCCAGCCTGAAGAGGATGTTGCCACCATGTCTCAGTCTGAGGAAGAGGAGGTTGCAGCAGACTCCCACACTGAAGAGGAAGAAGGTGCAGTTGACTCCCAAACTGAAGAAGAGGAAGGAGGTGCAGTTGACTCCCAAACTGAAGAAGAGGAAGGAGGAGCAGTTGACTCTCAGACTGAAGAAGAGGAGGAAGGTGCTGTCGATAATCAGTCTGAGCAGGACATTGCAGAAAATCAAAGTGATCAAGAGGATCCTGCAGCTACGTCTCAGTCTGAGGAAGAGGGTGATTTGGCTGATTCTCAACCTGAGGATGAACACGATGGGGAACTGGAGGAGGAAGATGGTGAGCAGCCACCAGAACAGCTGGAACACATCAGTCGAAGGGCTCAACGCTCTGAGGGTGGACTCATTGTGTCCGTCACAGAGGCAGAGGAAGATTTGGCAGATGCCACAGAGACAGGTAAGGACAAAACATATCATATCTCTCACTGTAACTCACAAGAATTGTTATTATTTATAAATCTGTTAATAAGAGAGAAGCAGCAGAGCCTCAAATTTTAAAGTAAAATGTTTGGCATTGTGGTTTGAATTATTAAATTAAATTATCTGGATTGACTCTTTGATTAATTCATTAATCATTTAACTACCAGTATGGATAACACTGTTTTATCCATTAGTCGTTAACTATTAAATGCCAGCTCGTTTGATAATCGATTAATGGGTTTGAGTGATTAAAAAAAAAAAAAAAACGAGTCAAAATTGTCTGATTCCAACTTCTTTAATATGAATATTTTCTGGTTTCTTTTCTCCTCCATGACAGTAAACTGAATATCTTTGAGCTGTGGACAAAACAAGACATTTGAGGATGTTATCTTGAGCTGTGGGAAACACTTATCAATATTTTTCACTGTTATGTGACATTTTATAGACCAAACAACAAGTAGAATATTGGAGACAGTAATTGATAGATTAATCGACAATGAAAATAATCATTAGTTGCAGCCCTAACACTGAATATACGTCATTTATTGTGCTTGTTGTGTGTTGAAGTGAAACAAAGACATAAACTAAGAGCTGGGCTGTATGGAGGGAAAATATTTCTAGTTGTTCTTGCATTTCTGATCTTCATCACATTTGTTGAGGTTTAGAATATGCCTGGTTGATAATAAATATGTTGGACTACTTGAAAATAACAAGTTCAATCAATTCAATTTAATTTTATTCACAGAAAACAGAGAGAAAAAACACAATTAACTTGAGAATATGAGCCCAGACATGAAGCAAATTGTATTTTTTAGTGTGTGTATGAACATGTCTAGATTAAAGAAAAAGTGCATGTACTATACAGTAACATCTATAATCTACAGAACTCAAATGCTAACCAAATGCTAACTACTAAATGGTTAATGCTAATATAGAAATATTTCTCTATTTCCCAGCTTTAAAAAAACTGAGATGTCAAGATATTCTTAAGTTCTAATTTGTAAGTGTTGATGTTCACATTCAGGATGGTCCGATGGCAAGTCCAAAGCACACAGCAGCCTGGGAATAGGAGGCCATGAGGGCGATCAGCTTCATATTGAGGTCCCTGACTTGTCTGAGTCCTCAAACCCGAGACAGACCGACGCTTCCCACACGGAGGCCGAGCCCGACGCTGATAAAGAGGACTCCTTTAAACTTCCAGAGGTGACACCAGATACTGAAGACAGTGGGCACCTGAGTGACGATTCACCTGAAGAAGCTGCTGCACAGGATCCTGCTGAACAGGAGGAAGAGGAGTGGGAGGATGAAGATGATGAGAATGGTGGTCAGTGTATTTTTGTGTGTGTGTGTGTGTGTGTGTGTGTGTGTGTGTTAAAAAAAAATGTGGCAATAGCCCCTTTTGCACAGGACTAGTATTACCAGGGGACCTCATGTGATTTAGAAATTCCCTCCTTCCCAGTTCTGTGTTTCGTGTGTGCAGGGAAAAAAAAAATAAAAAATAAAAAAAATATATATATATATCACAACCTTTGTATTTGGGGAAACATGCAGTGGACAAATCAATAACATGGCAGATTGAAACAGGATTAAGATCATGGATGACCTCTGCAATTATTACAAGTCACATGGGCTCCCCAGGCAATACTGGTCCTGTGTGAATAGAGCTTAAAAGTAAAATGTGCTGTTTTCTAAAATCTTCAGAGCTCCCCAGCAAGACTCCAGCATTTGTCAAACAGAAGAGGAACTTTCTCCAGGCTGATCCTCAGGCCTCACCCTCTGTGTTAAAGAATATTCAAGCCAGGTAAGTTGCACTCTGTGCTACACTCAAACATCTTGTCCTTTTTACAGAGACACTGGCACGTGTTTTACACTATGATAATACATATTAAGATGGACCCAGGCTGATAAAACATATCCGATGTTAAATTTAACAAATTTAAATGTCATTAAGTTATATTACTGATACGTTCTTTTAATATCTGTTCTACCAGCAGCAGCACAGGTGACGCTTCTCCTGCACCTAAGCCAAAGCAGGTGAGACAGAGGAGGAGAGGGCCGGCTAAAAAGGAGGCAGGCCTTCCAAAGACCTACCTAATGGCCGTGTTCAAGCACTTTGCCAAAACGAAGGTGTCAGCAGATGTGTACCCTGTCCTACAAGACATGTAAGGAGCTATATCTGTACAGATTTTGAGTGTTTTTTGTTTGCACTGCAATATGGTGAGGACATCTTGGATTTGTGTCTGTACTGTGTACACATGCTTCATTGTAAGTCACCGTTTTTAACAGAATGGATAAATACTTCAGCCGGCTGGCTGAGGACTTGGAGACGTATGCTGTTCATGCAAAAAGAAAAACAATAGAGGCTGAAGATGCTGAGCTGCTGTTGAAAAGGTAGGTGAGCTGTGTGCTTCATTCAGTGTGCAGACAGTCATTAACGACTTTTTGTTTTTGATGTGACAACAAACTACAAAGATAAAACAGAGTCAGAGTGCTTTACAAATGAAGTGTGTGTTACAATGATAAAATTACTGTTAATTTAAATGGAGTCTGGTGGCTCTGGTGATAGCTAGTTTGGTGCTGTTTCTAGTTTGAGATACAGATACATTTGCTGAAACTTTCACTATATTCGGAAAGAAGTGCATAAGACAGACTGTGGGAAAAAAAAAAGATATCCGTCCTCCCCATGTGCTGCCTCTAATCGCATTCACTAGAATCAGACCGCTGTGCACGCAAAACATCCAATCAGAGCCGAGAAGTCTCTAACGCAGCTATCACTGATCAATCCCAGCTGGCGGACTTAGGTCAAACTGTCAAACTAGGCATCAGTTATGAATCTAGATTCTGTTCCTGCATGGCCTATTTCTCGTCTCAGATGTTATCAGAAACATATTTTAGTGTACTGTTTAGCTGTAAAATGAGAAAGTTGGTACGGCTGGTGGGCGGTGCTTGGCTTCCCCTTTAACTGTATCCAACATGGCAGCCAGGTCACAGACTTTCTTATTTTACAGCTGAACAGTACACTAACATATGTCACTGAAAACATTTGAGGCGAGAAATAGACAGTGCAGTAACAGAATCTCGATTCGATCAGCACTGCCTAGTTTGACAGTTTGACAAAGTTCATCAGCAGTGACTGACATGATTGACAGCGGTCTCAGAGACTCCTTGGCTCTGCTTGGTTTTCATTCACATGCAGTAAGGCCATTAGAAGTGCTACGAGGCAATAGAGTAGGCAGCGGTATATGATTCTTTTCACAGACTATCTGTCTCATTTGGTGCTGTGTGAATATAGAAAGTTTCAGATATGAAATAAATGTTTTTATTAAAGTTACCAACTACAGCTTTAAACAAAAATGCCCTTACCCTTTAACAAAAAGTTCTATCTCTGTACGGATCCTTTCCATAATGATGTCAGACACTTAAAACAACAATCTGAGCCAAAATAGGGTCTAGGTTGAAAAATACCACAGTTACCCTATAACTGTGTGACTTCTGCATGTAACATTTTAAAATAAAATGCCATAACATTGCCATTTCGGTGTAGAACACTTTCAGTCACACATTCTTTTCTTCATAGCGGACTCTCAGTTCCAACTTGTCCTTTAATTAATCAATACTGCAATCCTCCAACTTTCATTAAGGGGTTTATTTGGCCACTTGGGGGCAGTTCAAGAAGCTATAAACAACAGTGACATATTACCATCTTATGGAGTCTTTGAGGCAAATGTGTACACACCATTATCTGACCCACTGTTGTTACAGAATGTTTATTAGAGCAGCTTTAACAAAATAAAATGCCCTGTAAACACCTTTAAAACCACAAGTGCAGCAATCACATATGGTCCCAGTTACATGCTTGTTAAATTCTTAACACAAACCTGAGACATCAAACAAATAAACTCACAGGAATGATAGTGACATCTGTAATGCTGACAAACATGAAATACTGTAGCAGAGCAGGTAAAAACACTGTCACACTAGGATCATACTGACCTCTAGATGGCATGCACAAGCTCCATGTTAAAGGCGCTGTATGTAAGAATGCGGCCAAAACGGTTACTGCGCTCAAATTCAAAATACTGCAGCGAGTCGTGTCAGCCCCCCCTCCCCTACAGATTCAAAGTTGCTGGACAGCAGCATGCTGGAGACTGATTTGTTTGCCCACGGGCAGCTGCCGTGGCAGGGCCGTGTCGCCGCATCCTTGATCTTCGGTTTTCCAGCGGACCGTTCGAGCAAGTCCGGCTTCTCTGCTGCTAACGCTGCTGCCGGGATACAGCTGAGGAGGAGCCGGCTGCTAATGCTATGTACTGGGACACTGCTAATGCTGCTTGCCGTGCTGCTGTAGCTCAGTCGTAACTGTAACTGATGCTGAGACTCTACTGACTGTGTGACCGGTAGACGGCGGTGGGTGGTGCAACAGGCCAAAACACAAATTCAAAACATAAACATGATTTGCAGACTGCAAAAAATTTTTTTAGATGTAAATATTCTGGCTGTACTTTTGTTGTCGGTGAGATCAGTATGTTAAATGAACATTATTCCTTAGTCTCTGTGACATATTAGGAGGATTTTACGACTATTTGCTTTAGATTTCTTACATATAGTTCCATGTTAAGTCTGAGGCAATGAACAGGTGTCTGTGACATGAGCTTTCAGCATCAGTGACACTAATTCTGAAATATCGCTCTAATAGTATCATCTGTAAGAGCAGCAGTGTACATAAACAATGCCTGACACTTTACACTTGTTTTCTTACATCTGACCTCACTGCTGTGTTTTTGCTCTCTGCAGGCAGGGCTACGTGAACGACAGGGTACCAGTGGAAGTGCTCATTGAAAAATATCTTCGCATGGACCAGCGCAAACTCCTCATCCCCATAGCAACCAGCGGGAATGTTGTCATCCCTAAAAAGAGATGAATGTTTTATTTACAGCTTCATTTTGTCGCTACATATTTTACCTACACTGCGTTTGATTTGGATGAGTGATGTCAGAATATAAATGTTTCTGTAAATGTGTAAATAGTTGTTACTATTATCTTTATTACTGTACTGTGTGGGGTCGAGTGTGAGTATATATCTGTAAATAATAAAGCACTGGTTGGTTGACAACAGTGCTTTATTATCAGTTCAATGGTGTTCATTATGTCTTAAGTTTCTGATAATGACTTTAGTTGTTCTCTTATATCAGACCTGTCAGGATGTTACATACCTTGACATGCTTCGGCGGAAACTTTCGCCTTCCTCAGAAGTGTCACTTGGTGGTGGTTGTGATGCGTCTTTAGCTGATCTGATCCCTAATATCGGCTGATTGACAGATCAGCTGATAAAGACGCATCACAACCACCTTCTGAGGAAGGCAGAAGTTTCCGCTGAAACATGTCAAGGTATCTAACATCCTGACATGTCTGAGATAAAAGAACAACTAAAGTCATTAGTGCTTTATTATCATTTAAGATTACATAAGTATGTGTGTACGTCAACTTTCTTCATTTATCCTGTTGTGCATGAAGTGTGCAGGTGTCTAAAATAAACAGATGTTGAAATAAAGTTCTCTGTTTCATATTTCATTGATAAATTGACTGTTGTTATCTGTAGTATTCCTCCTGCTGGTTGGTTTTGTTGACGTGAAGAAATAAGTTGAAACTTATATCTGTATGAAAACTGATGATAATGCGGAAGGATGCAATTTGGGTGTTTTTTCCTTGCATATATATTAGACCATGCTTTACTTGACAGTGGTGGAAGCATTTAAATTGAGCATTTACAGACTGCTCAGATAGATTTTGGACATAAAGCTGCTGTAATCTCGTTTTTTATTATGATACTGGCATTTATAAGGGAGAGTCCATGCACATCACACTGTCCAGTACCTTGCCCGTGTCCACTAGATGGGGCAAATTCATAACAACTCACCCTTATCACAATCAGCCCAACTGGTGCAAACAAATCATTTTAATGAAATAAGCAAAGCCCTGTTATTGTAGCTGGATTAATGGAGAACCTCGCCTCCACATTAGAGGTTAAAGATGTATTAAAGACACCTTCGGGGTGAACCGATGAATCCAGAGATTAATTCCATCTACATTTTAATTAAATCAAACCTTTAGCGGTTGATACTCATTAATCTTGGTGCGCTGTGTTAATAATCTTGGCACAGTGCAATAGCTCATCCAGTGTGCTGATTAAATTAAGATACATTTGTTTTCACAGGTGGAAATATTAAACACTGGCCCCAGCACCCATGTGAGTGAACTATAGACACTACTAGTTACTAGTAACTAATTTTCACCTTTTACAAACAGGTAAGCATGAGAATATATATAAATAAATATTATGTATATTAGAAATATCTAATTTCTGGTTTTTTTTTTAAATGGGCTGTTAAATCACCCCGAGCCAGCAGGGGGCGCTCTGCGTGAGACTACTCATGTCTGCCAGCTCCACAGACAGCTAGCCTGCTAGCAAACAACAACAGAAGATCCCGGACAACTAGCGTCATAATTAACCTAACACCAAGGTAAGCCCGTCGATAAATAAAACAGAGCGCAGCGATATACGAGCTAAAGACTTCAAAACACACGGTGAAGGCTGTTATGTCGCATTTTTAGCCGCAGACTTGCGGCAATTTCCCCGACCTTTTTGTTTGGCTTAGGGTTAGCTGCTAGCTAGCTAGCTCGCTCAGTTAGCTAGCGTGCTATCGGGATTATGTACAGTATTTATTTGTTTGCAACGGTGTCACAACTTGTCGTCACTGTGTGGGGTTTATTTTTCAGTGTGAACACACTGGTGTTAACGTGGAGTTAAAGTAAAACGCCAATTCAAAGTAAGATACCTTTGCCGATAATCTGTATTGTTAGCAGGTTAACTACCTGCTCCTGTCACCGCCTACATTAACAGCACAGTGCCAGTGTCAGTTCCCAACACTGTCTGCTACTATTAGTAGTTTAACTAAACAGCGGCACATTTAATACGGCTGCATTTTAATATACGTAATAATTACTGTATTATTATTACTAATATTACAAAGTATACCATATGGGTTCAATTAGAGCTATTTAATGCACTGTAGTGGATGATTTCATGTTGTATATTTAGCCTTACAAGTGCTCATGCTGTTATAGTTTGTGTTCTCAAGTTGTCCACAAACCAGTTGGTTGACCAGCTGTCATGCTAATTGTCTGAGAAGAAAGTGATAAGATAAATGAGGTGTGACCCTGAAGGAGTGAGCAGTGTTGGTGCATCAGTACATGCACAGTGGTGAATGAGTCAGGTTCACTGGAAGCAGACCAAACACCACAGCAGTGATATCACCACTAATGTCCTTGCTTCTCATTGTGAGGAAGTTTTCTGCATCTCTCATGGTGGTGGTGGACACAGTAATATAAACATTAGTCATTTATGAAGACTATGGTGTTGTAAGTGGTAACATAATGATTTGAAATGCTTCTTCGTTTGGCTTTCTTGCAGCACTTGCAGTCTCTTCTTGTCTTTTTGCTATTTTTTTTGCCTAATATTGAAAGTCAAAGTGCTGCCGCACAGCACATTTAAAATGGGCCACAATTCAATTCAGGTTTTTCCTGAGTCCATGTCTTTGCCTTGCAGATATACTGAGCAGACATAACTGGGTTTAGCTGAGCTCACCTTTAGTGTGATGACCCAAAGTAAAATCCACTGCGTCCGCGCATTTTGTCCACAGTGTAAAATATAAATGTGATTATGGAAAAAGATGAACTGCGGCTAAAGTCTCAAATCAGTTTTCATCTCAACAATGCATGTGATCAGATTTTTGTATCAAGAAAGTGAGTCACAATGTTTTATTTTAAAATATTCCTTTACTGGAAGCTGATGTCAGATTTCTCTACCCCAAGTGCTCGTACAACTTAAAATGCTCAGTATGTGTTTTCCAAGAATCGTAACACTGTTCTCTTGATGGCATAAAGAGGGATCTGATAATTGCAGGCATAAACAATTTAGTGGTTGAGTTATCTGCTGTAGGGCAGATATTTATATTTTGATTTTGAGTCACAATTTTACTTTAAGCCTGCATAAGAAATGCAATATGAGTTTTTTAATAGAGGTATTGAATCATTTTGTTGATTTCTGGTGGTTTTCATGTGATATGTGATGAAGCTTTTTGTGATGTGGATATTGATACTATACATACTTTTCTAAAATGACAAACAGGGCCAGAAGCAAATATTTTCTTCCGTTATGCTGTCTCACTGGGGAAAAATGGGTGCAATATGTTAAACTTGTGAGACCTTGTTTTCTCTATTGTGTCCTCGTATTTGTCTGGATATTAGATTGTAACGTCCAATTTGTGAAGCCAAACTGCTACAAGCATTTTATTTACTCTTTTTAAATTTAATTTTAGTCTTGATCTCTGCCTCTCTGGTTGTACATAGTTTCGTTATATCCCCTTTTTCATAGCCACCCTTTGGAAATGGACAGAAATAGAACATGAGTCAATACAAAAGAATAAGAAGGTGAGAGGCTTCATTTGCGATACATGGTGGCCCACATGTCAACAGTGTCTGTCATACTCTGAGTACATGAATTTTATTTGAAACATCATACAGTCCGTTGCAGCTTGTCCAGTATTTTAAGCCATCAGATTGTTGGGTGCCTTTTGAGATAGGGCTGGGAAATATATTGATATTTTATTGATACTGTGATATGAGACTAGTTTTAAGGCTGTCTATTTTAAAGGCTGCATTCAAGTAAAGGGATGTAATTTTCTGAACAGACTGTTCAGGGTTCTTTTTCTTCTTCTTTTGCTTGCGGTGTCGGATAAGTGGAACAGAAATCTACAAATTGTTTAATTTATTGGTGCTTATAAAGTAACAAAGACTACAGTTAGTTGTCAGGTTTAATCTTTATTTAAGTAAATGAAAAAGAACAAGTACAAAGTATGCGATGCAAGAAGCACCTCTTGTTATGGCACTTGGTCGACTTGCCTTTGAAAAATTATCACAATTTATCCACCTTGCTCTCAAACTTGAAGCACACTATGCAATACATAGTTGAGTTATGTTCACATCCTCAAACATGACCCAACTAAACTCCTGTTTCGGGAATAATTGAAAGGCTAACCTGTGCTTCAGCTCATTAACCTTATCTTTACCCACCACCGTTTTCTCAAAAGCGCTCAGTGAGTACTGTGATGTGTTTTTTTTTTTTCCTAATGACATTTTTATTGAAAGATAACTGCAAATTATACAGACTTACAATTGAAACACTCCCTTTCCATCATTTTTTTCTTTTCTTAACAAACATCCCTCCCCATCTCCCACCCATACCCTGCTGTCCCTACCTTGAAAGTTCATGGAGATACAGGTTGAACAACACACAGTAACATTGATTTCATACAAAAAAATAAAGTACAGTAGAAAAATGGGGATAAGTAAATAAAAGAAAGGAAGGGAAAAAAGAGGAGAAGGTCTTTTGGATAACAGTGCGTAAGAGTCAATGGCAATAATGTACAATTACATAACATTTCTCTTCTGTTCAGGAGCGTTCGAAGGCTATTAAAATAAACTATCAAGCATTGCCATTTCTTATAGAAACAGTCTTCAGAGCGCCTAAGGACACATTCACACTGGCGCTATTTGATCCACTTTAAACAAACCACACTTCCACGGATAGTTCGGATCGTTTGGAGTGATGTGAACGCTCATTGGAACTCTGGTGCAGACCAAAGGAGCAGACCCTGGTCCGCTTGAAAATTGGGGGTCTCGGTTCACTTGCAAGTAAACCCTGGTGTGGTTCTCTGACAGTGGGAAATGCAAACGGACTATCCAGCGAACCCAGGAGAGGAAGTGACATAGAGCACAATGCGTTTTGGGTAGAAGCCAACAGCGCGAACCAGGAGAAGCAGAGGTAAAAAAAAAAAAAAAAAAAAAGCTCATACTGGGCAGCTTCTTGTAAAAAAAACAATTAGGTTTGAACACCTTATTGGTCATCAATTGGTCCTGGCCAATCGATGAGCCAGATTTTCCTTTTCCTAATGCTTTTTTTTCTTCCTGGGCAGTGGTTGTTTTGGGCAATACCGCCCCCAAACGAGCAGCTGTTGTAACTGTGTGACGTTGTCCAGGTGGTTTGGTCTGCTTTACAAAGTGCAGTGTGAAAGTGAACCGAACCAAATTAAAGTGTGTAATTGTTATACCCTGGAAATCCAGAGTTCTCGCTAGAGCACAATTTGAATTTGCTCAGCGAGTCACTCTGTCAATCAGTAATGATGCTCATTACCCATGCCCTTGAAGCCGAGCTGCACCAATCACATCGGTGTATCTGATATAGGCGGGCCAGAGGTGAGCTAAACAGATGACAAAAGCGCTGCAACAACGAGGTCGGGAATCAGTCAGTAAACATTGCAAGATGGCTACGGATGAACACCAGTTGTTTGAAACGGCTTTGGCCGCTACAATGAACGAGTTAGACTTGGCTTTTTCTCTAAAAGAGGAACAGAAGACGGCGCTCGAATCTTTACTTTGCAAGAAGGACGTTTTTGCTGTTTTGCCGACCGGAT